AGCCATCGCCCCTGGCCCCAAAACCACTACTCCTCCACCCTCCTCGTCCAGCCACGGGCTGACCCAGCGCGCCTGGTCGGCTGGATCCTCAACTACATCACTCGCATCGTAGTTATTCCTCGTCCTCCCTCCTCCCCCTGGCCCCTGGTCGCCCTCCTAGTCTTCATCGGGCATCGTCCCTCATCGTCGGTATCGCCCTTCCTCCCCAACCTCCCTCTCGTGTTAGCCGTTCGCCATCCGCGTAGTCTTCGTCGTCGTCTGAATCGCCCTCACGATCCTTGGAGAGGGCGTCGATGGCGGGCTTCAGCCCGACGAGGCGCTTGTCCACGTTGATGCCCCCTTCGGCAAGGTCGCAGAGCGCCTTCCAGGAGAGATCGTCGGCCCCCTCAGACGGTAGCCACGACTCGCCGTTGGGCCCTCCCAGCTTCATCGGCTCCACGGCCTTGGCGGCCTCGATCATCTCCCTCTCGTACTTGGCGAGCTGGCCCTTGCCCACGAACTGGTCGATCTGGCGAGTCTCCTTCCACACGTTGAGCCAGGCGCCCTCGATGGCGTCGCAGAGCTCGGGGTCGATGTCGCGGATCGGCTTCAGCTGCGAAGACTGCTCCTTGACCCTCGTCATGAGGACCTGCATGGTCGCGAACTCCGTCGATTCGGCCACCGTCTGGAAGGCCAAGCCCTCGACAGTCCCCACCTCATTCCCCTCGACCGTCACGCCCAGACGCACAACGCGCTCAGTCGCGACCACCGTGCCGACAATGTCGCTGGCATACCGCTGCGCCATCACATGGTGGCTGGAGGGGCTGTCGCCCAACTGCAGGGCATCAACGATAGCTTTGGCACCGCGCTGGCAGTCATCATCGCGCGGCTTGCTGACGGGAGGGGTCATCATCGTGATCGCAAGGGTATCGAGCGACGTGAGAAGATCCAACCCCAGCTGCCCGCTCAGAGTCGAGGTGTCAACCAAGCCAAGAAAACGCTCCACATCCACGCAGCTGGCCTCGAAGGTTTTGTCATCCTTGAGCTTCGCGAGCGCGGTGCCGATGTCCTGGATCAGGGTGTTGTGCTGCTGGTCACCCGCGACCTTGTCGAACTGCGCCTTCCAGGATGCGACGTCCGCGTTCGTCGGCATGGAGTCGGCCAGCGTGTTCACCAGCTTCAGATAGGCGGCGACGTTCTCATGAGACACAGCCATGTCTTTCACCAGCGACAAGCCAGCGCAGACGATCTGCTTGGCGCGCAACAGCACCGCGTTCTCGATGCCAGTCGCCACGCGCCGATCCAGGGCGCAGGCCACCTCTAAGGACCCCCCCCCCCCCCCCCCCCCCCCCCCTGGGAAGGATGGGGGGGAGGGGCGAGGGCGGGAGAGAGATGGAGGGAGGAAGGGGAAGCGGGAGTGAGGAAGGAGAGATTATGAGGGGAGGCGAAATCACCCCCTCCACCCGGGAGGAAGCGCGATCACACGAGGAAGCGAAACCGAATGGAAACGGGAAGGAGGGGAGGGAAGGAGAGGCAGGCAGGAATGTCAAAGGGAACGCATAGCCTGCACAGGCAAGGCGGGGCGGAGAGGGAACGCAGAAGAGCGTTGGGGGGAAACGAGGGCAGGGGGAGGGGAGGGAAGTGAACGGAAGGAGCGGGGCGGGAGGGGAAGGGAAGGCGGGGCGGGGTGGAGAGGGACGGCAGAAGAGGAGAACGGGAGGGGGGAGGGGAAGGGGAGAACAGAAATTGGTGGGTGTTCCCGCCCGTCGCCCGCCCCGTTCCCTTCCCCGCCTCTTCCCTTGACCTGGCCCAAGGTATAGTAGTCACGATTTAAGCAGGACTAATTATGCGGCCCTCTATATTCAAAATAACCACAGGGGTTCCGTTCACTAGGCGCTGGGCGGCTGGGCGGGCGGCGTTCTTAGGTTTTAAGGCGTTTATGTTCCCAGGTTGTGTAAACGTTGTTCATATCGTTCTAACAGTTTGTTTACAACCACATGGTGTTAATCATGCAATTATGAACAATCGCACACGCACTCTCTCCCTCTCTCTCGCCGCACACATTACGAGGATAACGGGAAACGAACCCCGTGCGTCCACGGCAAGTCCGCCACCGCACCGCCGCGCGGCATGAGTTGGAATGTTTGCAGGGCCCTCGTGGTCATCAGCCCCCAGTCCTGAGAGGTGCCCGAGACGGCCCACGGAGCCTCCAAGCCCAAGACGGCACAACAGGCCGTGAGAACACCACACAGGGGCTCGGGGGAAGCCGAACCGACGCTTCGAGCTCTCGGCACCCCAGGGGCCGCCGATAGGCCCCCAACAGGCACCCGAAAAAAAGGTCCTGCAGCGCCCAGGGTGCCCAACACGCTTCCAAGCACCCCCTACGAAGCAACCCTGAGAAGTTCACAGGAGGTTTCAAAACTAGCGCCACCGCAACCCCTGAGAGCCCACCGAAGAAACCCCACGAGGCAGCCCTGAAGACCCCAATCCATGAACCAGGCACGGCGGCGGGATGGGCCGAAGGCCATTGCGATAATGCAGAGGGGGGGGGGGGGGGGCGAAAGGGAAACGGCGGGGGGGCCGAGGGCGCGCCCCGCGCAGCCGGGGACGGGACCAGTGGATGGGGCACGGGACAGTTGGGCTGGCGCGGTGGCTCGACGCGCCGCAGGCAGCTGGACGAACGGTTGACTGCAGAGAACCCCGCCCTCGAGCGCGCGACCCCGTGCGCGCCTGGCGCGCGCGCGCGCGGGGCCACTCGCCGCCAGCGGAGCAATCGCGCCGCCAAGGGCGGGATGGGGGGGGGGGATGGGGGACAACGCTGTGGGAGCGCGCGCATGACACACGTTGATTGGCATCGCGAGAGAACGGCGAAGTGACTGGCGGGAAAAGGCACTTTGTTGCACTGCATGCAGACTTTCAAAAAGCAAAGGAGGGTTGGGGAGGGAAGCAATGCGCAAACGGAGCATCGCGGACGCATATGATTAATGGAAGACGCGCAGAATGACCATCAGCATTCTCATCCTCCACCACCATCACCACAACCAGCACCATCACCATCACCACCACCACCACCATCATCATCCTGACCATCACCACCCTCGCCACCATTACCGCCATCACCACCACCACCATCACCACCACCTCCATCACCATCACCACCACCATCACCATCACCACCACCATTACCATCGCCACCACCATCACCATCACCACCACCACCACCATCACCTTCAAAACCAGCACCACCATCACCGCAACCATCACAGCCATCACCTCCAGCACCACTATCCTCATCATCACTGCCGCCACCAACACCAACCAATTGTCTTAACCAGGTTCGGCAAGTGGGCCGTCTATGTAGGCTTCCTAAGGCCATAGGCCCTAAGGCCCTAGGGCATGGCCACCTCCCGCGCGTTCCACCCCCTTACCCCCCCCCCCCTTCTCCTCCCCCCCTCCGACCCCACCCCCCCTCGGCCCTCCGCCATCCGCCCTCGCCCCCCCCCCCCCTCCCTCCACATCCTCCTCTCCCTCCTCCTCTCCCCCTCCCCCCCCCTCCCACCTCTCGAACACATCTACAACTACACCCAACCAAACTGCACCTTGTTGCGGGGACCAGGGGTGGCAAGCATTATTAGATTTGGCGCGTCGGTCGGTCTGGGTGGGCGGACACCGCCTCGCGACCTACGATGGAAGGCGACGGTCATGCCGACGACGTTGCGTGCCAAGCGTGGAAGCGATCACCATGTTTCACGGCGAGGCGCGGCGGCAACCACAAGAAACAAACATAACACGAACAAGCGTTTCACCCTCGGACGGGAAATCCAGCACGAAGAATCACTCGAAAGCGCAGGATCGGATCGCGGATTTGCCGCTGGGACACAGGCGGGGGAGGGAAGTGGGCTGCGCGAGGTCGAAGCCCCCAGGCAAGCGGTCGGCTTCGCTGAACCAGGGGATGTGGGATGTCGGCGGGGAGCGGCCCAGGGGACGGGGCCTCGGCGATGGGCGGCGCGGGCGGCCGATGCTTCGCGAAAAAGGAGACACGTACAGAAAGGCACTTAGCGGCCGGGGCGCGGTACACATTGGGAGCGCGAGTGGCGGCACCCGACCTGCACCCCGCCCCGATGGCTAGGTGTAGTTCTGTAAGTGCTCCGTTTTGCGTGGATGTCTCTGGCGAAACCAGCACGTACACAACTACACCTAGTGCCTGGCTAGGTGTAGTTCTGAACGTGCTGGATGTCTCGCGCGGGGCGACCACGCACAGACCAGCACCTAGCGAAAGGGACGGGGTACAGGTCGGGTGCGTCGTCGCGCCCCGCCCGCAGAGTCAGGAAGACAAGGGCCGCTGAAACCCCTGCCGGCCTCCGGGCGGAGGTGTTTGAACGTCCCAGGGCTATCCGAAGGAATTCCAACTGCGGCCTCCGCCCACATCGCTCCCCCTATCAGAGCATCTCGCCTGGTCACTATGTTCCCCAGTCCCACCCGCTGCTTTGCCCTCCCCCTCCCCCGTTCTTCCTCTACATGTCGCCCTCCATTCCCCTGAGCGTTTCCCAATTACCCCAGGCCCCTGCGTGGCGGCAAACGCCCGCGCCTCCCCGCAGCTGAAAGACTCACCTTGCGCTCATCGTCGAATCCATTCATGAGGCGCGAGTCTCGATTCAACACTGACATTGGCAAGCGACGTCGAGGCCCCGGCAAATCCGACAGGCGCGATCGGCCCCCTCGAATGGTGGGCGAACCAACACGTAAGACGATGTCGCAAAAATAAGTTTGGAATTTGGGGATCCGCGCAAGAAGGTAATCCACTCGCCCACAATGTAGTTTTGTACCTGTCCGAACCTCCCGAGCACGGGGCGCGCGGCCACTGGCCACTGGGCCTTGAGCATCCGTCGGGGCTACCGCTGCCACGGCTGCGCGCGAAGAACACTCCCTCTCCCCCCCCAGCTCCCCCCGCTGGCACTTGGCATTCGATCCCCAGCAGTGGAAATACTGGAAGCACCACCCCCCAGCTGCTGGCATTGGTCTGGCACTGGTTCTGGCAGCATGACCATGACCATGCGCTGGTGGTTCGCACCTGCGCGAGGTGCGCCTAGCAGCCGTCGAGGCGGCGCCGACCGCGGCCGACGCGGTCGAAGGTGCCCGTATGCGCCGCCTCGTTAAAAACCATCAGCGGGGCGCCCGCGACTGTTCGCTCCGCCCGCGCGTCGGGCGCGCCGCCCGCAAGCGTGGCACGCGCGCTGCCAGGCGCGCGGCCCGCAACTGCAGCCGCGCGAAAGCTCGGGCGCGCGGCTGGCAGGGGTGTCGGGTGCCAAGCAAGGCCGCCGCCTGCAGCCGCAGCCGCGGCGCCTCCGTCCAGCGGCGCAACCTCCGCGGCGAACGCAGGCATGGCGGCGTCGCCAGCATCTGCCTGTTGCACCGCTTCTGCGCCGATGACCAGCGGCGAAGGCCCGAAAAAATGTTCGGGTCGGCGGGCGCCCGAGGAGGTGGGGGGGCGGCCGAAAGCCGCAATGGCGAGCGGACCGCCCTGACCAGCTCTCTGGGCCCGCGCCCTAGCGCCAATCTCGGTCCGCCAGGCCCGAGGGAGCGGCCGCGCACCACCCACCCCAAACCCAACGCCCAGGCACAGCGATGGCCTGTGCGCACCCGCCTGCGCCCCCTGCGCTGCGACCGCGACTCGGAAGGGGGGGACGGGGGGGGGGGGAAGGGGAAGGGGGGGCGGGGGGGGGTGACAGCGGGTGATGAGGGGCGGGGAAGGGGAATGATGATGCATCGCACCTGTTGCGGCGTTGCGGCAGCTCCTCCCGCGCCTCGTCGCGCGCGCCGTTCGCGCGCCGACCCCGCTTCGCGCGGCCGCATGGACCACCGTGCCAGCCAGCCTGGCCCACGGCGAACGCGTCGTCGGCGCTGTCAAAGGCCTCGTCTGCCACGGCGCGTTCTGGGCGATGAACCGCGTCAGCGCCTGCATGGAACTCGGCGTTCCGCGCGCGGTCTTCGCGGCGCTGCGTTCGCTGAACGCCCGAATCGCGCTGGGGGCCTGGACGCCTGAGCATCGCCTCTGTGAAATCTGACGGAGGGCGCGCGTAGCGTCGCGATCCGTTAGCCAGGAGGACTGGCAAGGGGCGCATGGGGGCGTAGGCAGGCTGAGCACCGCACCTACTGGCCCCAATTTCAGCAATTCTTTGCCCACGCTGGCCCACGTCAGCCCCAAGAGCGCCTCAGAGGCCCCCGAGACAGCCCAAGACAGCCCCCAACGCGCCGAAGATACCTCCCAGGCTGCGTCGGAAAGGTTCACGAGGGCCCAAAGGCGGCCAAAGAGCGCCCCAGAGCCCAACATGGCCTCAATACGGCCCAAGAAGCCCCCACGGCGCCACCAGCAGCCACCAAAGGCGACTCCGAGAGGCAAACATCGCCCCAATCCCTAAGGGAAACATGCATGTTTAGCAGGTTCGTTTCATTGGTTCCCACAGCACACAGAACTGCATTCAGGGGCCCCCCAAGACCCAAGACCGCCCCAAGACTGCCCCAGAGGCCCCCAGGGCGACCCACGCGGGCGCCAAGACTGCCCAAGAAAGCCCAGATACGGACCAAGAGAGGCCCCTGGGCGCCCCCCCCCCCCCCCCCCCAAAAAAAAAAAAAAAAAAAAAAAAAAAAAAAAAAAAAAAAAAAAAAAAAAAAAAAAAAAAAAAAAAAAAAAAAAAAAAAAAAAAAAAAAACGAGCTCCAAGGTCCAAGAGTGCCACAGGAGGCCCCACCCAGGGGGCGCAGGAGGGCCACCACCAGAGGGCCCCAAGACGGCCCACGCCCGCCAATGCGACCCAAGAGGGGCCCAGGACGGCGCAAAAAAATGCCCCAGACGGCCCGAGAGAGCCCCAAAAGACCCCAGTGCCCAGGAAGGCCAACACATACAATATTTATGGAGTGCCGCAACGTTGGCTGCTATATTTCTGCATGCCGCGCGGGCGCTTTAACACCGACAGGGGTCCAAACCATTCAGCCACTGACCCCGCGCCCCCACAAAGTAAACGCGCCCCCCCGCCCCCGTGCCAATCAGGGAGGAGGGGGGGGGAGAGGAGGGAGGAGGAGGAGGGCAGGGAAAGGGCGAGAGGAGGGAAGCGGAAGGAGATGAGAGGAGGAGAGGGAAGGGGGAAGTAGGGACGAGAGGAGGAGGGAGGAGGTGGACGAGGGAGGGGGAGGAGGAGCACGGGGAGGAGGAGGAGGAGGAGGAGGAGGAGGAGGAGGAGGGGGGGGAGGAGGAGGAGGAGGAGGAGGAGGAGGAGGAGGAGGAGGAGGATAGGGCCCAGCGTCGGGGGGCGGATCGGGCGCGCCCCCCGCGCGCGCGTCGTCGAGTTAGTTGAGCGCCTGCAGAGCCAGCCCTTTGTCGGAGGCGCCGCGCAGCTGGCGCCTCGGCAAGGCCCGCGGCTATGTGAACCGCGTTCCTGGTTGCGCCGCCCGAATTGCAACGCGCCCTGGCTGCCGCGCCTGTCCTATCGGCATCCCAGCGCCGCATCGCGTCGCGTGCGCCCGCGCCGCTGCTGCGTGGCATGCGCTCTTCGGGCCCCTGCAGCAGGCCGCGAATGCCGCTGCCTCCGCGGCCCTGGGGCGCACGTACCATTGGGGCCGAGGTCCAAGAGCGTCGTCGCGGCGACGACCCCCCCCCCCGCCGCGAAATGCCCGCCCCCTGCAGCGCAATGCAATCTGGAATCATGCCCAACTCCGCCTCGAAATCGTCGCCGAGCGCACGCCCACCTCCGCTTCGAAGCCCTCGCCACTCGTTGTTCGCAATGAACGGCATGGATGCGCGAGAGTGATCGGGGCCGCGCGCTCTTCGCGGCTGGCACCGCCTGCTGGGCCCCCGCGACGAGTCGCGCTGCGGTTCGCTCTTGCGTCGAGCCCGTCTCGACGAAGAGTGCCCTCGAAGTCGCCGAGGTCTGATCCCATGAGGAAGTGCGGGGGCGGATCGCCCTGGGCGGCGCCGCCGCTAAATCCCCACCGCCAGCGCGATTAGCATCGAGCATCTGCAAAAACCTTGCGACAATCCGACGGAAACCAATCAACCGGGTCAATGACTGGGTCCTGGGTGGATCTCACCAGAGTGAACGTGCCAGCACCTGCTAAGAATGGGTCTCGTCGATCAGGCGGGGGCCGCGCGCGCCGCCTCTCGCCTCTCGCGGCCACGGCGCAGCTCTGCTAAAAGTCCCCTGGCTGAGCTCTTCCCCCACGGGCCGGAAAACCGCGTTATCATCGTCCCGAAGGCGTCGCTGACAGCGATGAAGTCCATGTCGCCGTCGCACAATGGCGCGGCCGCCCTGCGCGTCGGCGAAGAGGACGACTCTTGCACCAGCCGAAGCGCGCGATTCTTCGCTCGGGTCGGCGCGGAGAAACACAGACGCGGAGGGGGGGGGGGGGGGGGCATGCGACGGGGCGGGCGGAGGGGGCGGCGCGAAGGGATGGCATCGAAAAGCGCGCCGGCGCAAGACGAGGCGGGGCGGCCGATTTTCGGGCCGCTGGAGCCCAGCGACAGGAGCTCCCGCAGGTGGTCGTCCTTCAACTCGGCGATCCACTTGTCCCTGGCCATGGGTGCCATCGACATCGACGCCAGATTCGAACCCTGGTCAATGATGGCACCCACGCGATCGTCGAACGGGGGCCGCGGCGCGCGGGGAGGGCGTTCGCTTCCGCTCATCCCCATCACGATGCGACTGGAAAGGCTACCAAACCCTTCCAGGCAAGGTCACCAACTCGTTAAACGCATCAGTGCAGCGCGCGCGCAGCCCAGAACATCTAAGGGCATCGCAGACCTGCTATGGCCACAAACTTCCTTGCGCTAGACACGCAAGGCCCCTCTAAGGTGTTGCCCACGTAACTGAAGTTACGTGTAACTCTGTAGCAGGTGAAGATCTCGCTCGTTAGCGGAATCCCTGGGCGGCCTTGGCGCCTCCCTGGGGCCTTCCAGGGCTTCCATGGCGACCCAAGAAGCCCACCCGCCCAGGGCGCCACATGGGCCCAATATGCATCCAATACCCACTGCGGCCCAAGATTGATTCAAAGAGGCCTCCAAGACGCCCCAAGAGGCTTCCAAGAGCACTGCCATGAGGTCCCCAGGAGGCAAGTCGCTGATTTCCTGCGTGCTTATGTAGAAAAGAGTGTGGCATTATCGCATGTTTTGTTTCCCAACGGCCCAAGACGACCCTAAAGGCCCCCAAGGCCCAAGGTCGCCCCGAGACGGCCCCTGGAACCACCCAGGAGGGCCCCAACACTGCACAAGAGCGCCCCAAGACGGCCCATGAGGCCTCCAAGACGGCCCAAGAGGCCCAAGACGGGCTCGTAGAGGAGGGCCCAGACGAGGAACCCACACACACATTTCGAGCCCTCGGCCCCGATAGGCCCCATGGGGGCCACAAGTGGCCCGCAAGAGGCCCCCAGGCGGCCCCACCAGGCCCGAGAAGGCCCCATGCCCCAGGAGGCCCTCAGGGGGGGGGGGGGCTCGAGAAGCTTCAGGATTGCCCCCAACATGCCCCCGATACGCCCCTGACGACATCCCAACGAGCAGCAAACAGGCCTAGAACCCACAACCCAGGCACGGTGGCGGGACTTGCCGTAGGCAGCTGTATATCTGAGCAGAGACACGGGGGTGGGCAGGGGGGCGGAGCCCGACTGCCAGACAGGCAGCAGGGGGAAGCTGATCTATGGGTGGATAGCGCTGGCCACGCACGCGAGGACAGAAACCGCTCGCAAAAAGGCAGCAACGGGGAGGCATTCAAACGCCGCGCGCGCGGGAGCGTTGCGGATCCGACAAAATGATACCTGGGAGCGCATCGGGCACGTGGCGCACGGACTTACGAGAACGCTACAAGCCATTGTTACGCAAGTGGCGCGCGCGAAATGCAACGCGGCAGCAGCAAGTGCGGACGCCCGACGGCGACGGACGGCGACATGCGCGGCGACCGCGGCTGCTCGGGGCGGCGCCGACGGGCGCCGACGGGGGGCCACGAGGCGCGAGGCGACGGAACTAACATCCAGGCACTGTTCCTGAGGGGGCAGATCGGAACCCCTAAACGCAAGCACCTGTTGCGAAAAAATACACATTTACTGCGCGGTAACGCCGCCGAGCACCGCGACCCAGGGGAGCGAGAGCGCGCACGTGCCACCCGCCCGCGCGCTACCGCCCACGCGCCGTCGCAGGCGCGGCGCGAGCGCGGCACAGTTTGGATTCCGTAGGTTAGGTGGCTAAGTTAAGTCGGTAAGTTCGGTTGGACGGTGCTGGTAGGATATGTTGTGTAAGTCAGGCAGGTCAGGTACATATGTAGGTGGTTAGGCAGGTTCGGCTAGATGGGTTCGGTTTGGTGCGTTCGGCGAGTTGTCTGCGTTTACGTTAGGCCAAGCAGGTTTAGTTAGGTACGGTGGCGTAATGTAGGTTGGATTCGTTCCATCAATTAGATTGTTATGTTCGGTTTGTCGGTGGAGGGCCCTCGTTAGAGGTTGGGTAAGTATTGCAGGCTGGGCTTGATTTCGCTGGTTCGGTGGCTTAGGTATGTGAGGTTTCGTCGGTCAAGGTTCGGTGAGGAATGTGCGTCACGTAGCTTAGCTTAGCTTAGGTAAGTGCGGGCCTTGGTTGAAGTTCGGTTGGGTTTGGGCCTCTACTCCCCCTACCACCCCCCTCCCCGCACCCCCCCCCGCACCGCCCCCCCCCCCCCCCCCTCTCCGCCCCCCCACCCCCCCCCACCCCCCCCCCCCCTCCCCCCCCTCCGCACACCACACACACACACACACACACACACACACACACACACACACACACACACACACCACACACACACACACACCGCCCGAGTCAAGGTGGAGGGGGAGGGGCGGGGTGGGGGGGCGGGGGGCGCGGCGGGAAGGGGTGGGGGAAAAGGTGATGAGGAGGGATGGGGGGGGGGGGGGCAAGAAAGGGAGAGGGAAAGGGCGAAGAGAGAAGGGGAAGGGGCAGGTAAGGAGCGAACGGATTGAGAAACAGTGAGGAGGTGGAGAGAAGAGAGAGGGGAGAGGAAAAGACGATGGAGCGGACAGGAAGGGTAGGAAGAGCAATGGAGAGCCTTGGCACGGAAGGGTGGGAGGGAGGGGGAGGAGGTGAGGAAGGGGATGGTGAGGACAGGAGTTTGTTGTTGACGCATTGCCTTAGGGATGATCTCGATGGCGTTCGTGAGCACCGCGCCCAAGTCATCGTCGAGGAGCAACGGCTGCGCCCTGGTCTTCAGGGCCATCACGGCACACACCCGCTCTCCAACCTGCGGGTGGAGCTCGACCACCTTGACCTTGTTCTGCAGCATCAAATCCAAACGTTCGGTATACATCTCGGTGGAGGCCACAGCCTCAGAAAGCTGCTTGAGAACCAGGTTCGTCCCACACGCCGCGGCCTTGAACTCCGCGAGCTCCGCGTAGACCTTATCGATGTCATCCGAAGCCCACAACTGGGCTGGCTCGCACAGCAGCTTCAGCACGCTCGCACCGAGCGTGAGCTCCACGCACAGCTCGCTCATGGCCGCGTCCAGTGGCACCTGGGCGGAGCCAAGGGCCGTCCTCGTCCTCATCCTCATCGTTCTCAGCACCCTCTCATGCATCCTCATCTTCCTCGTCCTCATCATCCTCCACGTCCTCGCCCTCCTCGTGCTCATCCTCATCCTCGTCCTCATCGCCATCCTCCTCACCCTCCTCGTCCCCACCCTCATCGTTCCAAACCTCTCCCTTACCATCAGCCTCCTCATCCCAATCCCCCTCGCCCTCATCCGAATCCTCGTCGTCCTCATCCTTCTCCTCGTCCTCATCCTCCAGCTCCAGGGGCCAAGGATCCCCCTCGCCCTGATCCTCCTCGTTCCTCGTTATCCTCCTCCTCCTCGTCCTCACCCTCCTCGTTATCAACGCCATCTTATCCATCATCATACTCCCACTCCTCATTGGGGGGCCCAAGGCACCGCAGATGCCAGCAGGCTCTCCCTGCAGCTTCGGCCCCCGCTCGTCGAAGGGTGCTGGCGCCCCGCCCTGGCCCTGGAGGATCGGCCACGTCGCCTGGAGCAAGGGCGCATCCAGCTGCATCATGTCCGAACCGCCCTTCAAGATAGAACGGCACTCGAACCTCACCCAGTTCTTCTGCACCAGCGGTGGCACCTCAACCTTCGTCCTCAGCCTCTCGAGGATGGTAAGGACGTTGCCCTTCTCCAGCACCCAGATATTGTTTGAGGTCAGCTGCATGGCCTTGTCGTAGAGCTCGATGTGGTTACCGAGGCGGCGAGCCTGCGACACCTCTTGCGCGACAACGAGCCTCTTCCGAGCCTCCTCGGCGTGGTACCTCTGGACGCCGAGCTTCTTGCTCTCCTGGAGCACGGCGACAAGGGGGATCTTCTGGATCCACTTGTCGGCTTCGTCGGAAGGCACTCACAAGACCTATGGTGTCGCATCGGCCTGACTTGCCGAATCGGCTGGGACGATCGCGACTGCGTGCTGAACACAGCTCTGGCCATCAGCAGCAGAACCAGCGACCGAGTAACGAGAGGCACCACGCCGGGCTGGGGCAGCAGTGGTCCTCGGCATTGCCGGGCGGCCGCCCGCGGAGGTCCTCCCCCCCCCAGCTCGGGCCCCGGGCTGCGCTCGAGGCGGCGTCCCAGCTCCCGCCACCAACGGGGCTGACGCCCACATCAGACTGACGATCTGAATGATCCCCCAAGCCCAGGGCTGGAGTGCACGGAACTTCACACTTGGGACTCTGGAAGAGGGGCCCACAATCGCTCTTACGTTTCTTGGCCGTGATCCTCGGGAGCGACGCAGCGCACAAGGCCTCCAGCGCTGCAATCCCTGCGTCGCTGCGGGCGACGACCCTCACCTGCTCAGCTTGACGCGTGTAGAGGTGGTCAGCGGGGTCGAGCCTCTTGTCAATCAGGCGCACCTCAGTCTTTGAGCTGATCGAGTGCGTCCTGAGGTGCATCAGGTGGGGCTCCCACTTGAACACGAACACCGTCTCCTCGCCCTCGCCGCCCTCTCCACTCACCTCCATCTTGGGAATGTTTTTGGTCTCCTTTGCAGTGGGCCGGCTACCGAACTCCATATTCCATTCGCTCTCGTTCATGATGATCACCGTCCGCTTCGTCTTGCTCGCGTGGACGTGCACCTCCTGGGCCCCCTGCTGGCGGAACGCTGGTTGACTTGAAGCCGCCATGTTCGACTGGGCCTCGGCGATGTCATCGCGGGTGTCCTTCCCGGACCTGCTCGCCACGAGCTGGTCGATAGCAATGTGGCCGAAGATCCTCGTGACCATCGGCACGCAGGTGGAGCAGATGATGTAAGAAAGCCGTTGTTGCCAGTCATCTTGACGGGCGCCTCTGAGAGCACAACGGCCCAACCAGGGCCGCGCGTCCAAGCAGACGGGGGAGATGAGGGAGATGATGGTTAAAACAAGATTTCTCGAAAACCACGCGCGGGGAGGACTTATCATATTTGATAACCCTGCTCAGGGAGATGCGCCGCGTCATAAGCGGCGGCGGGGCGCTCGAGCATCGGTCCCGCCCGCCGCTCCGCGGCGGCGGGACGCTCGCATTAGTAGTAGTGGGCAGGTAATGGGCGCGCGCCGTTTTTTTTTCAAAAAGCGTCAAAACACGAAATTGACTAAAAATCCGATTTCGAAATAATGTTCAGAAGATTATGATGTGTACGTGCTTCTGCGTTAAAAACATTTCTGAGCTCGATTCTGCCACCGCTGGAGCTCGAAATGCTCAGTTCGAGCATGAACAAGTGAATAGCGAAGCCCCCCCCCAAGACCTCAAACAAACTTATCTGCCACCCGAATTCCTAAAACAAGCTGGTCGATGGAGAGCGCAAGCACTAAACACTGAAAATATGCTGCTCTGCAACCCTGAACCCTGAACAAAAGCTGATCGATGCAGATTGCAAGCCCAAACCCATAAAAAAAGAACGCGGCTGCCCCCTGAACCATAAAAAAAACGCCTCGGAGACCAGGGAAGACCAGAGGAAACCAGACGGGCGAAGGGGAACAGCCACAGGGAACAGCGACAGAGGGAAGTGGAGCAAAGGCCGAGCTCGGCCCTGAAAGGCGCGAAGCGGCTGTCAACGGCACGCGCGGCGCGAATTCTGCAGTCGCAGCCCGTTTCGGATCCTCCAGAGTGCGCCCATGGCGCAGAGCAGCCACCATGGGAGAGCAGCGGCACAGAGCAGCGGAGGAAAGGAAACGAAAGGATGCCTTCATGGCAAACTAGCCCTCACAGGCCCGAAACGGCCGCCCACGGCACGCGGGGCGCGTCTTCTGGTGCTCGAAGCCCGTTTCGGATGCTCCCGAGTGCGCCCCTCGCGCAGAGCAGCCACCACGGGGGAGCAGCGGCACAGAGCAGCAGCAGAGGAGACGAAAGGACGCCTTCAGGGCCGAACTCGACCCTGATAGGCCCGAAACGGCCGCCCACAGCACGCGGGGCGCGAATTCTGGAGCTCGGAGCCCGTTTCGGATGCTCCCGAGTGCGCCCCTGGCGCAGAGGGGAGCAGCGGTACAGAGCAGCGGAGCAGAGGAGACGAAAGGACACCTTCAGGGCCCAACTCGGCCCTCCAAGGCCCGAAACGGCCGCCCACAGCACGGGGGGCGCGAATTCGGAGGATCCGGGCCCGTTTCCGGTGCCCCCGAGTGCGCTCCTGGCGCGGGCCAGCCACCACGGGGGAGCAACGGCACAGAGCAGCGGAGCAGAGGAGACGAAAGGACGCCTTCAGGGCCGAACTTGGCCCTGCAAGGCCCGATACGGCCGCCCACGGCACGGGGATCGGAGCCCGTTTCGGCTCCCCCGAATGCGCCCCGCGCGCCCCCTGACCCCAGGAACGGGACGGACTCCCAGACACACGTTAGAAAGAGATGGTTTCTGATTTCTGTGTGAGAAAGCTCTCATGCTCATCTGCAGCTCGAGTTAATGAAAAATTTGAACATCCGTTCGAAAAAAACCGAGCTCTAGATGCTTCAGCCAAACGCCTTTCCTAATTCTCAATTGATTTCTGTGCGTATCAGCTCGCTACCTTACGGACCTAGCTCGAGTAGCAGACCGAGTTCAGACATCTGGATGCAACAGACAAACGCGTCTGATGATTCTAATCGGGTTCTATAAATATCAGCTCTGTAGCTCTGCGATATCTCGAGTTAAATACAGAAAAATGTGAACGCGTGTCAAGATGACTCGGAACACAGTCGGTTCCAGCAAGTGCTTTCAAGTAATATTGCAGCTACGGACCTGAGAATTTCACTGGCAGACGCGCATAACCCACTACAAAATAGGAAAATACCGGCTCTCAGAATGAATTTTCAAATTTTGCACAAAGATAGAAAACTCAACCCAAAGTTAACACGTTCTCGGGTCGGCCAACTAGCTCCACCCTGCGCCCGAATTCCTCCTAGCTCATCTTGGCGAAGAGCTCTACGAGGTAAGAAGTCAGTTGCGAGCCTGTTTCCTCGCGTCGCGGTTGGCGCGGGCGTTCCCGAGCATTGGGCTCCCAACGCGCGCTCAAGCGAACCGGCGCCAACGTGATGTCGGTTGCTCCTAATTTTCCGATAGTCAAAATGGCTCTAGAGGGCTGAGCTGCTCTGGAACAAATTTATATTCCAATGCTCGGCGTAAAAATCTGCTTTCTCAAAATGAATGGTGAAATATTTCTCAAATACCAGCAAAACTGACCCAAAGTTGCCAGATTGTCTCTTCTGGTCGGGTCGACCAACTAGCTCCACCCCGCGCGGGAATTCCTCTAGCTCATCGACTGGGAACCGGCGGTAAACCGTCAACCTGGCCACCGCCGGGAACCTCGTAGAGCTCTTTTCTTGCACGGCGATCCTCCGAACACATGAAGAAAGCTTCTGGGGGAAGAAACGAAAAACTGGAAAAATCACGTTTTTCTGTTTCTTATCCAACGTTGGTTCCTCCAAGTGTTTTGATAGTAATACTGCACCTACGGACCTGAGAATTCGACTGGCAGACGCGGCATAACCCACTACAGGTGCGAAAAATCTGGTTCCTCAAAATGAATGGGCAAATATCTTTGAAATCTTAGCAAAACCGACCCAAAGTCGTCACATTGTCCGCCCGGGCCGGGTCGGCCAACTTGGTAGCGCCCAAAACCCGGAGAGCGATGGCGCCGACGGTAAACCGTCAACCTAGTCACCGCCGGGAACCTCGTAGAGCTCTTTGCACGCGTAAGAGTGCTTAGATTTGAAGCAGACAGCTTATTGGAGAATTTATGGGAAAACGTCGAATTTTAATTTTTGGTTGTCAGTTGTCCGCCCGGGCCGGGTCGGCCAACTAGCTCCACCCCGCGCCGGAATTCCTCTAGCTAGCTCCGCGAGGTACCTCATGTCGGTTGCTCCTAATTTTCCGATAGTAAAACTGACTCTACAGAGCTGAGCTGCTCTGGGAACAAATTTTATATTCCCTTCCCAGGGGGGCAGCTCTACGATGCCGGGAAGAGAAGCGCTTACCCCGCAGAGGTCTTTCAGAGTGGTATACACGTCTCTACTCTTATCTCCAGGTACATCTTCACCTCTATCCTCTTCTTCCCCCACGTCTTCATCCCCAAGCGCATTGTCATCTACTTCCTCCTCGCCTCTATCTTCCAGTACCTTTACATCTACGCCTTCATCATCACCTACATCTTCAAGATCTCATTGCTCACGGAGGGCCTCTGCAGGGACAGGCTCCTCGAGCAGGTGGGTGGGCGACTGACGCCCCCATAGTCTCATGAGGCAGCTCGGAGACTACAGGCTCCGTGGCGTGGTGGGCTACGGCCCAGCGCAAGGTGCCACGCTCGGAGTTGATTGCAAACCTTGCACCGCACTCGCTTCCGACTCTCGCCGCGGCGCTCGGGCTCGCAAGGCCCACGGTGCGGCGGCACCCTTCATTGCAGACCTCAAGGCTAACACATCCCGCGGCCGCAGACGAGATCGTCTTCGACACCGCTACCGGCGATGCCATCAGTTGTCATTGTCGGCACCTTCCTGTGCACATCTGACTCTTACCACCGTCAACACCCAAGGCTGGTGCTGGGCCAACCAGACGGACCGGCACATGCTGAAGGCGCAAGGTCTTCTGCGCCTCGCCCGTCAACATCACTGGGACATTGCATGCTTATCTGATGTCCCTGGAGCGCCTACGGACTTGCGGAACACAGTGGTGGCCCTCGAAGAATTCATCGTGATTTTTGGGACGCGGAGCGCCATCTTGCTGAACCCGGCTGCCCAGCAAGCCTGGCGAGAGCATGATTGCGACATCTCTCGGCACGAGTGTGGACGTTTATTAACCATCTCTCTTCGCATCAAAGGCCTTTCGTATGCTATCACTTCTGTGTACGCACCACATCAAACTTATGGCGCGGAGCTTCGGAGAGACTTTTTCGATTTTTGTGATGACGTGAGACTTCGTTTTTCAAATTCTGACTATCAACTCTGGCTGGGGGACTGGAACAGCCACGTGGGCGACGACGTGCAGCCACAGTACGGCGGCCTCGGCACCTATGGCATGCGCACGCCGACGGGCACTCCCGGGAAAGAGTTTGCGGCCTGGCTGTCCAACGGCCCTCAATTGGAACTGGTGGATTCGTACTTCCGTGTGACTCCCCGGGGCACTTGGTCTCATCCAGTGGGCGGCCGCCATGTGCACTTCGAGCTGGACGCGTGTGTGGCATCATCGCCTCTTCTTCGCCGCTTCTCTCGGGTGAAGACTTTCCAAGTGGATTTCTCGGACCACTGCGGCAAGTCCTACAACCTGGCCCTGGCACAGGCGCACGAGGCGTGGAAAGAACTTCGACAACGTGGTGCCGAGGCCCAGAAACGCCCTCTTGCCCTTCATCGGATGCAGGGCTCGCTCCCCGAGGCGACCGCTTTGAGGAAGAAGTATGAACGCCTTTGTGAAGCTCGGGCTCCGCCCCTGGACGCCGACTGCCCGTTGTCCACCATCCGAGACATCACCACGGCAACTGCAGAAGAAGTGGTTGGGCGGGAGTCGAAGCGTTGGTGCACCCCGTATCTCGCCGGCCACGCGGCAGAGATGCAAGCTGAGCGCGATGCACTTCTGGACCTTCGCCGCCGCCAGCGCCTTGCGAGCACCACGGAGGAGTACACGGCACTGCGTCAGCAGCACCGGGCCCGCTCCCAGGCGCATCGCGCTCTCCGACGGAAGTGGCGCGAGGAGTGGATCTCTGGCATGGTGGTGGAGCTGGAGCGGTCCATGCAGCACCACGACATGGGCCGATTCTACGCGGCGTTGCGCGAGCTGGGGGTCAATA